AAAAAAAAGTGGATGGAATTTTTTTCTTTTTTCAAAGGTATATAAAGGATAAAGGATAAAGCATTTGCCGTTGATCAATCCCTTTTTGGGATGCGGCACGCATTCTACTTCCATTTGTACATTCGTAGTGGCGTTTGAATGCGATGTGGCCTATACAATGACTTGCGGGGGCCAGCCGATGTACAAGTCAGTGTTTTTATCCTCCCAGACAAGTCTGGTACCAATTAACCGACCCCGGAGGGATGGAAGGCTTGGTTGGCCCGGGCGACTCACGACCCAGGATTTGATCCCGGACCGCTCGCGTGGTAAGCGTGCCACTTGCCACTACACCACTTCCGCCCTTCAAAGGGGGGGGGGGTACTGAACACTTAACAAAAGACAAAAACATAGCTGAGATTAGAAATCAGTGGGGCCTCCAGAGTTTCTAATTAGCTCAAACATCCTGTCCGGCATAATCTGAACCACGTTTGGCATAGCTGTTTCGTCGCTGTCGGCCCAAATAGCCTCTACCGCCGCCTTCAGTTCATCCGCGGTATTATACTGCCGGTTGCTAAAGTTAACGCCTTGATCAAGGGCTCCCTATAGGGTTGCAGTAAGGAGAACACACAAGCCAATCTATCGCTTCAGCACCATTTCGTTTGAGCCATTCTTTGGTAGATTGCGAAGCATTGACAGACGCGTGGTCCTGTTGCTAAAATGCAATTTTCGCTGCGCTTCCTCTTAAGAAAAGGCAACAGGTGATATTGGAGCACTGCTTGGTATTCTTTACTGTTCATACGCAATAATGGAACGGCAACTTCCAACTTCCCGCTGCTTGCGAAACCGCCCCAGACCCATCAACGGGCCTCTCCGAAATTCCTTCTCGAGAACACGAGCGATTCACGGCCAAGCCTCTCCAGCAGTAGCAAAATCCGTCCGGCCCGTCAAGATCGAACCCTTTCCATGAGTTAAAGGCAAAAGTCGGGCTCAATAAGGGGGTATTATGGCGATTGAAACTGAGTATAGAGATGCGAAGTGGAACGACAGTGGAGAAAAAACTGAGAAAAACCGTCGACAAGGCCGTTAACAAAACCCTCTTTCCCACTAGCAGTGAAGGAGGCTGGCTTGGGGAAAGAGGCACGTACAAACAAGTTTTCTGGAGATGTCAGTCGTTCTATCGGTTGATACGGCAATCAACCTAGCTGATTTCACACGTTATGCCAGCCACGCACCACTTCCGGAGGTGGGCGGTCCTGGATTGACCAGGCGGCCCTGGATTGAAACCGAACCCGGGGATACACTTCGTTTGCACGTAATAACTTCGTATAGCCGCCTGAGCCTGAACTTTTACTTAAGACACCTGAGGTGAAAGGCATGAAAACTAGTTTGTTTCAAATCGAAAATTCTTGAAAACTGAAAGAAGCGTGTCGCTATCCTATGTTGCCATGTCTGTACGAGCAGACTCCAATGTGGCTAACTTGTGCTGGGCCTTGAAGTGAGTAGCCTTTCTCAGCGTCTGTCGAGTGTATATTCATTTGAGCGGATGAGGGGCTTAGTGGTCATTTTCGAGGCTGGAATAAAAATCTGAGCTCGGACTGTCAATGAAGAATCCGACAGGATGTGGGCTACTCTTTTGTTGTTCTGAGCAGTCAAGGATCGTGGATGGAGCGGAGTGTGTGCTGAGTATAATTATCAGGGTGCCAGATAAATCTTCGAATGCATTAAGGAGAACGACCAAGTTATCGTGCGATTTCTAGATTGGAACGTTCATTACATGCAGCCTATCTTCTGCTTGGGGACTGGCTCCGAATCAGCATGATGACTATGAAGTAAAGGCGATTATCTGCTTCTTTCACTGTACGTTTCGACTCGAGGATCGACTGAGGAGGGTTTATAGCACGAAGCTCTTGGTCGTCTTTTTATGCTGTGGATTTTAGTGTCCATCATACTTTCGAAGCGCACTGTAGTGAGCAATTGGCTGACGATACTAGGAAAATTACTAGTCTGCTGCTTTTTCCAAAATTGCAAAATTTTAGGGTGACCTTGTAATTATGAAACGCGTGATACAATCATACTTATAATATATTAGGCGTTTCAAAAAGTTCTGTCGTTTTTTGACACTCCACTTTTGGATGCTCTATTTTCCTTTAAACCCAGAAAAACTGCAATCGGTATGAATGCCGTTTTGAAGAGCTTTTCCTGCTCTATCTCATGCTTAGCTTAGCTCCTTGTCCTAAAATTTTCTCATAGCTTTTTCAAAGCTTTGAATGCGGTATACTCGATGAGCAAGTTGGCATGACTTTCTTTTTCTAGCTTTAAATAGACCTGAAAGTAGCGGGAACAGTTCAAGATATTAACGATGCACTTGGCCTAGATTCGCAATAAATGTGCTCATATGCAGTAGTTCGAAAAGTTATTGTAACGAAAGCGAGAGCCTTGGGTATGATACTAGTGGTAGTCAGATATCGGACGTTGCCACCCATTAGCCAAAAGTTCTGATTGAGGCACTCGTGCGTAAGACCATGGAGGAGGTTCTGCCAACCTGGGCGTACACGGTTGTAGAGCCAAGCTATACGGAAGTAGCTGGAAAGTCCAAAAATTTGATAGGGGCGTGCCGCGACAAATCACCAATCTGAAGGGTCGTCCATCAAATTGTAGCTTGTTTTATGTGATAATAGCGACTCGTTTTTCTACAGATTTGCAGCGTACAATAAAGAGCGGATTCTTCTCTACAGTCCACGAAGCTTTGCTGGATAGCTCGACGGCGATAGAGCTCTACAAACTGTGCAAAACTTAAACTGTGCTGAAGGAGGGTTATGGCAACTTTCATAAGGTCGACGGCTGGCCTGGTTCTTCCGCATAACCAGGAACTGTTACAGTGGAAAAGCAGTCTTAACATTACGCCAAAATTCACCAAAAACTCCAAGACATGTGTCCAGCATTCCTCATTATAAAGGGGTGGACACATATCTGAAAGGTGTCCTGGACGTACATCGCACGCCAACCTTCACAAGTTGGACCAGCTGGACTTCAGAGTGATTCTGCGAACATCTTACTTCAGTTAGACCTCTTGTCTATCTACTGTCACATTTCTGACGATCTCGATAGCTTCCTTGAAGAGAAATGCATCAAAACCCAACATGATGCCAAATCGACCTTCCCTCAGTTCATCGCCCTCAACAGCTCCAGCATTCTGAACAAGCGTTCCAGTAGAATGAACAAAAGGTGCGGCTTCGTTATGGTTTTTTAATCCGCGGCCTGAAAGGTTTCTTTGCGCGATACATGTCATCTAAATACGGTCGGAAAACGACAGAACTTTCTGAAACGCCTAATAATATAATTTATACTTAGGCCCGTTGGGGTTTCAGTGACTTCAAAAAGTCATCCACATACTAATAGACCTGCATAATGAGAAGATCACGAGGTCTGTTTTCCTGCCGGATTGTAAGCATTGTACAATAGTTTGAAATCTACTCAGAATTTGGACATGCCAAAGAATTTTCAGTAAAAATATTTTTCATTCTTCACTCTCCTCCCCTGAGTATGTTGGTCGAGTGACTACAATGAATTCTACTTAAAACTTTTAGACAAAAAAAAATTTAAATTGAAACTGAGCAGAAAAAAACCGTCGCCGAAGAAGTGTTCCACCAAAGATTTTCGAGCGCTACCGTATACCGTACCATATGACCATAGGATATGGAATACAGGGCATGAATGTACTTCCCTATTTGTGTAATTTCTTTCGTAATGTCATTAGGTCATCTTGTTCACAGATATTGTTTTCGTGGGACATCTCGACAGCTGTGCTAATAATAAAGGACGCCCAAAGCACACTGTCACGGCGAAGCGCACATACTAGTTCTACAAACCGTTAGACCCTAAAGCGTATAAAAGGCCAGAATAGATGAATGGACCTCGTATCACTGCCTTCATACCGACCCGTACGTCAAGTTCGAAATGATCTCATTGGCTTTGATTATTGTTCCATGCGTTGCACATGCACTAATGACAATCAAAGCAGCGAACTGTGTGCGTACTACTACTCATTTCGAATACCAAAAGTTTGGAGACTATAATCCAGAAATGAGAAGTCAACTTGCCAAATTCTTCACAAGGAAATTTGTACGTTATCTCTGCGAATGCTTTTCTATGTGGTGTGATTTCGCGATTGCAGTCGGTCGCAATCACGAGCGAGGGAGAAGTTGCGTGCAGCAGTGCCATGATGTCAGACTTTGCGAATCCAGTGATTTGCTAGTAGCGAATCCACGGAGTCGCCGGCGAATCGCTGGGCTCGTAAGTCTGGCACCGACATACGAAACCAATAACGACGCGTCCCACGCGATTCTGACACCGCGGCAGAATCGCGTCTGCCACACTCGCGGTCGACACTGCGATCGTGACTGCGATCGCGGAGTCTTATATAATACCTACTTATAACATAGCAGGATTTTAGTAATAGTTTGAAAAAATTGCAGAATAATGAGGATCTGGTTCTCTATTATTTAATGATTAGTAGTACATCAAGGAAAACAGTAGGACATCATACCGATTCACAGGCATATTTTCGGCTGAGGTCTGTTTCGTTTCAATCATGTCGTATAACTTCAACGCAACCCCCGGATTAGCCGACTAGTAGGAAGGATACCGCGAGGGAAATTGTAAGACCCGTACCTACCTAGATCACTTCAACTTGGTCGCGAAAATCGCGCGGTTAGGGCGCTAATCCTTACGGGCCTCCAACCATCGAACGCTTCCCACCCACCGCGAGATGTGGTGAGATTGGTGAGATCAGCGTGCATTGATGTAGAGATCAGCGTGCTCTCTCAAACGACGTGCTCTCTCGCGTGTTTTGTCTTCTTTGATCGCCCTGTCTCGCCATCGTACCACATCCGACCTTATTGAAGGTTAAGGCCTTAATTTCAGCGTTCCCAAAGATTCTCTTGCTTTCCTTCCACTTTCAGGTCGTCCGCAGCTAAGCTATCACTACGAAGCGCTCTAGCACCAGTTTAATCCGGAGTTTGCCTTTAATGAGTATAGGGAGCATACTCTAGGGCTGTTTGTTGCTCAGAAATTGTGTGTGCATCATATCCGATCCAATCAAATAACGTATTGCAGAATGACAAGCTGCCTGTCTATTTCAAGCAGTTCGCGACGAATGGAACTATCGACAAATTCTTCGAAATACCTGCACGTACATTCATCGTCAATTTCTACACATGTCCTGCATTGGGAACGGATCGAGAAAACTAAGGTGCCAAAATGTGCAAAGATTAAAACAGCTAAAACAGCCTTGTCCTTCGCTTAGCAAATAAACGTGTGCGGTTATGCGTATGCGTGTGCGGACACATATGTACCTATGTTTATATCGGAATTGAACTTGACATCATCCAGTTGACTCCTGTACATTAAATGAAGTCGTAAAAAGTAGGGCTCATTGCGCCGGCAACTCTTAGAATGCGCCACGCAAGTCAAAACTTCGGAAGATTATATTAAAACACATCAGTAAATTTGGTCTCGTCACTTGAATCCTGCGCAGGCAGGACGAGCAATGCGGTCTGCGTTATCCAGCGGGATCCTCGGAGGTCGAGAACACCTGTACGACTGCAGGCCCTTTTTCACGAAAGCTCTGAACGAAAGGAATGAAGACTTCGTGTCCCTCGAGCGAGGAGGGTCCACTGGACAACTCTTGCACGCGACAGGGACGAATGGAGACGTTGCTGGCGCCCGCTCGAGCAATTCGATGATCAACGGGACGACAGGTGATACAGGTGATCGTTGGATCAGAATGTATTCATGGCCTGGACAATGACAAAAGCTGGCCATCACTCGTAGGAAGGTGCAAAGAAGAATGCTGACGTTGACAGTGCTGGAATGGAGTAGTGAAAGAATTAGATCACTACGAGGCTCAAAAAGTTGGCAACCAAGTGGGTTTTGGAAAGCCTGCCGCGTGGGACCACAGAAAATCAGAGGGATTGTCTTTTGATGAATGCTCATCTACAGGAGGAAAGGCAAAAAGAGTCACTTTGCCTATAGCCTCAATCAACAAACCTTTCGCATATTGTGTAGCCGTTGATGAAAGTTTTATGACAAATTGTTTCCCTTATGTCCCTCCATGAACAGCCACAGGCCCTGCTTCACTGCTCTTAGTCTCCAGAACATAACGCCATCTGCCATCGATGTCGAGCTCTATCTATATGGAGTATTTGGTTTGAATTGCAAATTGTTATTAGATCTGTTTCGGAGTGAAGGAAAACTGACTTTCTTGCTCCCTTCTCCCCCCCCCCCTCGTCAAAAGCTAACTTAACGTTAATCACAGCATCGACATGTGGCGCTCGTGCCGAGTTGGCGCTTCAGCGTTACGAGGCGCTGTGTATATCCTTTCTTGTTGAATTCTGGAGATATATATATATGTGGAAGTCACTTCTCCCTATGCGCGTATATGACCCTCACAATCCCGCAAATTAAGGCACCACTTTGGCAGCGAGTCAGTCTAGCGGTGATCTCAGCAAAATCCTACAATGCGTTCTAAGGTGAGTTGGCACCCCTGGAGGCTACGGGTCTATGGGGACTATTTCGAAGTTTGAAATGATGTCTGCGGTAGGTCGCACTGATCTTTGACTTTCCAGGCTCTGACGAAGGCGACGCCGAAACGTTAGCCGAATAAAGTTGTTGTACCATCTTGGCTTGTGGCTCCAGAAGCATATCTCAAAAAGACCACGCACGATGCCAAGATTTATCGAACTTCGAGCACATGTATTATATTTGACTTTATCTATTATTTATAAAACTTCCAATTGGATGAGGGTTCCCCACCATTTTAGTGGACTTTTGCTGATTGAAACAATTAGTCTTAGTAAATGTTTCAGCTACTAAAAAGGGTGTACATCATCGTCGTACTACTGGTGTGCCGCGACGTCTGCATGAACGACCTTTCTGTTGTGCCTCATTAAAATGTGACTGTTGACGTGAAACGTCAACGCGACCTGGCACTGCGCGGAAGCGCAATCCCCCAAACCCTCATTTTCTGCCCGCGATTGCGAACATCAAGAATACTCTTGTTCACGCCATTTTTCTATGAAAGAGCCAGAGCAAGTAAGTTGCATTCGTTATCAGCGCTCTAGATTATTAGGGTTTACAGGAAATTAATATGCTCAATAGTCAGTTTGGGGAAGTTTCCCCGGAAAAGTGCCCGCGTCGCGATACCTCGCGATTGGCCGCACGCGGTGGCGCGACGACAGGACAATGCGGGGTGGCCACAAATTACGGTAGCAAGAGCAGCCGCAGGCACGTCTGAAATCAAACTGAGATAATTTCGACTGTTGGCTACAGAGTGACGGGAAATCTCTCTAGAGAAGGCGCACCGAGCTGTGGAGCGATCAATTTCTTGAATTCTGCTGGGATTAATTCGCCATTCTCACCTAACGCCGCGGTGAATACTTGCCACGGGAAATAGTACTTTGCACGTTTGCAGGCACGCATAAGCCCAATTTTGAAGAGTAGGCCATTGTTTTCTGACCTGAATTAACAGAGCTATGTTTTCAATTGCCATTTCCACGTGTACAGCTTTTCTGTGATAATTCTATCGTATTACCGTACTTTGTCCACCCTACCCTGCTTGGCGCCTCTCATAAGAAAAATCTTTCAGCCTGGAGGATCATAGCGCTTTTATTCATGGGCACCTTGATTGTCCGTCTTTGCATCGATTAGGACGCAGCCAGATTTGTTGATGTTTCTTGCGCCAATGCTGCGCTAGCGGAGGGGGGGCGGGTAAAGGTGGACATACTGTAGATCAGCACTGAAATCAGCCTAACGGCAGGACGCACGAACTTCCGTAGAGAACGTAGTGTTTGACGCCCTCGGACTCTCTTAAATTTAGGCTTGGCTCCCAAAAACTCGGGTCCTAGATTGTGACGCGTGTTATGGTCTGCCATGACCCTCCAATCCCGCTCACAAAACCTAACGCCCTTTCTCTTCTCCCATAATGACAAACAGTGGTGGATTTCGACACTCTTTCACCCATGTGTGTGCACTTTCTTGATGCCGTTGGCTGTCTTTTTTTGCTTCTTACTTTGTTTTGTCCTACCATACAATCACGCTCTGACCCTGTCTACGCACGCCGGACCAAGAGAGTCCATGCACCTTGGTAAAGGTGCTAGATACACAAATGCCGAAGGCTAAGTGCCATTTCCTTAGAGTGCGCACAACGGCTCGTCGCCCATGCCCTCTGAAGAACTAACATCGTCTGCGACTCTGCAATTAGACTCAATCAGTTGAGAAGATGAACGGGAAAATGAATGTGGCGTTTTTCTGATTGCTATTCAAAATCGTCGATCACTATTCCGATCTCTGTTACACAAACGCAAATTATAATGCGCAAAAAAGAGCTCAGAATTAATAAATAATTAATACAGTGAATACAAACAATATATAATTATATAAATTAAGAAGGTTCTTAGTTCAGTTTTTTTAATAGAATATTTTGTACGGACAACAATTCAGTCAAATGAGGCTATGTGGAAGATGTGGGAAAAGCTAGTATAACAATAAAGCAACTTGCAAACAAACAATAATGGGCAGGTCGAGTCACTCTTTGTATAGTCACTTGACGCCCCCCCCTAATTTCTGATGGGAGTTGCACTTCATTTTAGCACCAGCTGCGATTGGGAGAAAACTGTGAATTGCGATGGATGGAGGTGTAACCGGAACTACACGCGACAGGCCTACTTTGCTCACGGCAGTGTCAAACATGCGGTTGAGGTTATTTAACGCGAAGGTGTATGTGTTTGCGGTTTCTGGAGGGGTTCTTGGGAAGAGCTATGTAGAAAAAATTTAGATGTTGTCTGGTTTCGCTATTCCAGGGGAGGTTTACCCTCGCTTCCCAATCCCTCAACCGTCCCTCCAGTCGACAACCGCTGTTTCAAGAAGGGTGCAGCGGTTGGAGCGTGTCGACTGGTATAATATAGAAAAGGTCGTGTTACAAGTCGGGGTTGGTGAGGCTGGCGGTCGGGCGTACGGAAATAGGCGTTTCTATTACTGCGGGGTCTCCTATGTGATGTTAGTGATGGGAGGATCGCACCTAAAGAGGGAAAGGGGGTCGTAAAATTTTGAATCTGCCCAACGCACGGTTGATCCCCAAATCAAATATAAGCTGGTTCTTGTGCTTTGGGCATCCTTGTGCTCTCTCTAACTAATTTTCCCAGACTCGAATGCATAGGAATGAGCACTGGAGCTAGAGTGAGTCGAAATAGTAGAAGATTACTCAAGCGCTTCATTCCTTGAACCTTCATTCGTTTCTTGGAAACTTCTTTAAAAAAAATTCAAGTATTCTTTTAAGGTAGGGTGGAAGTGATGGAGACCGAGGAATGTGTTCGTGAGGAGGACGTCAGCCGTTGGAATGGGGAGGGGGAGGATTGGGGTAGAGGTGCGACCCTGTTTCTTCGATCGTATTTCTCTGACTCGCTGTGCTTTGAGCAAGACTGTCTAAATGATGTTTACGGGGTCGTAGCCGTCAATGTACCTCAGTTCACATTCACCGCACACTCGAACTGAAACCGAGGTCAACTGAGTGCTCGGCAAACAAATAGTTTCAATTCGACCATTGGCATGGTGGCGAGCGAGTAGGAAGAAATGTTCACGTAAGATTCATAGCCCTCATGCAGAGCCCCAATTGGATCACTCATGTCAGGTGAAAGATGGAAGGTTAAGGTTTGAGAGATCTCCTTTCGACGAGCCACAGACTGGCCTTTTTTCGGAATCGGAGACGCATTTGGATGTCCAAAAATTGAGATTTCCATTGCTGACTTTCAGCGGGTTGATAAATGCTATGAATTTCACCCTGAAAATAAAGCATTCCAGACCACGCCCAGCGCTACAAACCCTTCTAGAAGATATCCCTAAGATGGGCGTGGTCAACGGGAACTACAAAAGAAGAATAGCGCACGAATCCTCGCCAGTACGGTGAATAATGATGTGGCTGGTCCTTAACGCTCTCACTGCCACCGTATCCGCCTGGTCAGACTCGACACCACCGTCTGTGCCGCTGCCGCCGTCACTCGACAACGCTGTTACCAGTAATATTTTATTACTACTACATCCATAAAATTTTATACAAGTAAACTTTACAGCTCCATGGGCATGAGCCAGGCATTCTGTTTGCATTCGAATCTTAGGGCTAAAGTGTACGTATGGCCAAAAATTACTTACAAAAGTAGTTTCTATTGTAGTGACAGCACTTAACACATTGACGACATTGAGACGCGGTAACGCGTCTCACTTTGCGCACCTCGTTGGACATTGAGACGCGGT